TGTCAAACGATCACTAAATGTAATTTCCAAAATCACATAGTATAATTAATATTTTAAGTAAATCTCAGGAGATATATTTGTAATTTATCTTAATTTTTTGGGGATAAATTATAAATAAACCCCTTGAAATTTGCTTAAAATATAAATTATCCCTTATGGTTTGAAAAATTACAAACGCTCTCTTGTTAGATATTTTTATTTAATAAAATTAATTGAAAAATAAAATTACTAACAACTTTCTTATACTTACCTAAATTATTAATTTAAATAAATTTTTGACATCATTAAAATTGTTAATTGACTTGATAATTTATTAATAAAATAAGTCATTTGTTATGAAATTACAAATTAGAAATTTCAAGGGGCGAGATCCAATTTTTAAAATCACAAGGGGCAATTCATATTTTAAGTAAATCTCAAAGAATGTATTTATAATTTACTTTTGTTTGGCATGAAAGATCTACTTAATAAGTTCTACAAAATAAGTGATTTAAATTATTAAATCTTTTTTACACTATGTTTGGTTGAGGCTTTTGGAGGAATTTAAAAAGAGAAATAAAAAAAATGTGTGAAATTAAGTTAAATGTAAGTATATTTTATCCATATTTCACCTACCTTTTTATTTTTCATTTCCAAATCCTCCAACCAAACATAACCTTAAATGGACTCTCCAATACCTCTTAAGAGCATCTTCAATGGCAAATGCTTCAATAGCATTGCCATTGTCAAATTGTGGCAACGAATAGTAGAAAATGATAGAATTATAGCAATGATGCTCTATTGGTCAGCTACCAAAATGACAGAACCAAACACAAAAGCCGGTGTATTCGGATGACTAGCCGGACGACCGGCCAATAGAAGATCAGTTGTCCTGAACACACCAACTTTTGTATTTGGTTCTGCAAAAATGGCAGATGAACGGGAGGGGGAGGGGAAGGGAAGGAGAGTTGTTTTGTTGGGAGGGAGGAATGTTTTGCTTAAAGAGTTGACAGTTATAGCAACTAGTAAAACTTGTGTCAAATTTGATACAAGTTTTGACATTTGTCAAATTTGGCAGTTGTCATAACCAACCATTGGTGCTCATTTTGTGTCTCCAGCTTCCAAATTACGACAATAGCAGATTTAATGGCAAATCATTAGAGATGCTCTAAGTGTCTATACTATCAATAAAACTACTTGAAATTTATATATAAAAAAATATTTTATGATTCAAATTCATTCTAATAAAATTATATTATAATAAATTTGAATTACACGTTACTTTTTTGGATTGTTTACTTGTTTTTCTTTTTGTTTTGTTTTGTTTTTTTTTTTTTGCGCATAAATTTTGAGATTGTAGCATTGATCTTATAGTATTGAATTGCAAAACTATGACATATTAGGGAGAGACTAAGGTTTTGTTTTGTTCATAGATTTGAGGAAAAATTTAAAAAGAACAAAAAAAATATTTGGTTTAGTTTTTAAAATGAGTTTTGAATTATATTTTGAAATGATAAGTTGTGGAAAAGAGTTTTAAAAATTAAAAATTTATTTAGTTATAAATTTTGAAAATAATTTTGAAATGATTTATAATTTTTTTTTTTTTTTGTAGTTGAATAGATAGGTATGAGAAAAAAAAATTTGATTGATTGATGTGTAAAATATAAAAGAATGAGAGAGGAGAGAAAAAAAAATTATTGATTATTTTATTAATATTTAAAAAACGAGAGAGAAAATATAGAGAAAAAATAATTTTGAAGGGAGTTTTAAAAGTTGGTCAACCAAACATATTGTTTTGCTTTTTTGATCCAAAAGTTAATTTGGAAACTAAAATATATGAAATTTAATTATATTTCATTCACGTTTTATCTATCTTTTATCTTTTCTTTTTCGAATATCTTTCCAAAGTTATGAACCAAACACAGCTGAAGGCTATCTAACACCCAACTCAAAAAAATTTAGAGTAATTATGTTAGATTTCATGAAAGAAATATCATCAGAAACTTTACGAAGATTCTCCATTTCATAAAGTTTTTTATAATATTTTTTTCATAAAAAATGTTTAATACACTTAATTTATCACCTTTAAAAATTATCTCTAATGGTATGTTTGTCAAGTATCAAATTTTAATTTGTCAAATATTTCATTATATGGAATCTAGTTTCAATACTATATCATTAAAGGTCATTTAGAGATGATAATTAAGATGATGTAACATAGTTATTTCTTTCATGCATCACTCAAAAATTTATACATCAAAAAAGCTACTTAACAATTTATTTTAGGTTGGTTTGGAATGTGGGTTGATTTTTTAACTTTTTGACTAGTTTAGTCTAGAGTTAAAAAATCTTATTTGGGATAAACTTTTTGACTTTTTTAACTTTTGTGAGAAAAATGAAATGATTATACTTTGGATGTGACATTTTTTAGGCCTCGTTTGGGAATAGGCTAATTTAGTAACTTTTTGACTATTTGACTAAAATATGAGCCTAAAAAAACTAGTATATTTGGAATGACTTTTTGACTTTTTACGGAAAAATGTGCAAAAAGCAGAGAGAAAAGATAATCTTTGACTTTTTGGTATGAATTGTTGGCTTTTTGACTTTTTTAGTAACTTTTTGACTTTTTGACTAAACGGGCTGGTTTCCAAACAAGGCCTAAGACTAAAAAGTTTATTTTATTTTTTTGTGACTATTTTAGCACTAACTCACCCCAACCCAACTTGCCAAACGTGTGTGCTTAGAATATTGATGTATGGTTTTGTTTGGCCTAGATTCAGGTTATGTTTAGCATAAATTTTTTTAGCTATTTTAGTTATAAAAGATAAAATAAATTAAAAAGTCAATAAGATAAAATATTATATTTAAATTATAATCATTTTTTTTTTCTTCATAAAAGTTAAAAAAATTAAAACGCCTATCTCAAACGAAATTTTTTAATCTCAAATTAAAATAATTAAAAAATTAAAAAGTTAAAAAATTAACTTATATCAGGCTCATTTATGTATATGTCAAACCCACGTTTGAAATGATTTCAATCATCCAATATTTTTCCTCAGATGTATTTCCTGAGTGCATTAATTGTTCAATACCCACGGGGCGGTGGGGGTGGTGGTGTAGGGGAGAAAGTAATCCTTGTACGGATTGGGTCCCTGCTGTGGAGTATCTACAGTTGTGACTGCTGTGATGTAAAACGTCACCATTTTAATTTTTTTTTTTTTAAATTAATCTGAGGGTTTATTAATTCTTCTCTTCCTATAACAAACAAAACAATGAACCTAGGGCCGTCGCCGTCTAATCCGTAAGCAAAGGTTCTCCATTGACATGGATTGAAAGGTTAGTTTTTATTTATTTATTTTTTATTTTCTATTGACATGGATTGAAAAGTTAGTTTTTATTTTTTATTTTTTTATTTTCTAAAAGTTAGTTTTTATTTTTTATTTTTTTATTTTCTAAAAGTTAGTTTTTATTTTTTATTTTTTTATTTTCTAAAAGTTAGTTTTTATTTTTTATTTTTTTATTTTCTAAAAGTTAGTTTTTATTTTTTATTTTTTTATTTTCTAAAAGTTAGTTTTTATTTTTTATTTTTTTATTTTCTAAAAGTTAGTTTTTATTTTTTATTTTTTTATTTTCTAAAAGTTAGTTTTTATTTTTTATTCGTTTGAAATGATTTCAATCATCCAATATTTTTCCTCAGATGTATTTCCTGAGTGCATTAATTGTTCAATACCCACGGGGCGGTGGGGGTCGTGGTGTAGGGAGAAAGTAATCCTTGTACGGATTGGGGGTCCCTGTCGTGGAGTATCTACAGTCGTGACTGCTGTGATGTAAAACGTCACCGTTTTAAATTTTTTTTTTTAATTAATCTGAGGGTTTATTAATTCTTCTCTTCCTATAACAAACAAAACAATGAACCTAGGGCCGCCGCCGTCTAATCCGTAAGCAAAGGTTCTCCATTGACATGGATTGAAAGGTTAGTTTTTATTTATTTATTTTTTATTTTCTATTGACATGGATTGAAAAGTTAGTTTTTATTTTTTATTTTTTTATTTTCTAAAAGTTAGTTTTTATTTTTTATTTTTTTATTTTCTAACATTTTTGTCTTCTCTCAAACAGATTGAACAGTGTTCTTTATTTTTGCTTCACCGTTCTTCTGCTGGATTTACAGACCATTATTGTTCAACAAACTGGTATGTATATCTATATATATTATATGTATATATGTTTTGTATTTTGTATTTTGTTTTGTACAATATGTTAGTGGGTTGAACAAGTATAATAGTTTGGTTTGTTTTTTGTGAATGGATTGAGAAACACAATTGTATATTATAAGAAAAAAATTTTATTATGTAATTTTTTTTGTACATATTATGTATTTTTGTATAAATATTATATAATTTTTTTAAGGAGTTACGATAATTTGTAATTCATAATTATTTTTTTTATAGCAATGTTATGTATTTTTGTGGAAATATTACACATTTTTATAACAATGTTATTTATTTTTGTAATAATGTTATGCATTTTGTGGTCTAAAAAAAGTTTCAATAAAAAAATCTATAATCTTACTATAAAATGCGAATTTAATTTTTTAATCATAAATTGTTATAACTCAATAAAAAATGACATAACATTTGTAACAAAAATACAAAACATATATCAAAAATTTATATAATAAGAGGGCATATGATTCACATCTTTAAGCGTGTCTGCCAAAAGATTCTCTATATTATATAATATACTAATTATAATATAATTTTGCAATTGTATATTATAATCTACTCAAATACAATAAATTTCCAATGTTACTGTACAAATTACACATCTTTTTTTTTTCCCTCTCCCCTATCCCCTATCCCCTATCCTTTTAATTAATTTACATTATTAATTGATTTATTAGATTTCATTGAATTGTTTAATTACTCAGCATTTAAAATTAATTAATAACTTTTTTACTCAGATTCTTGTTTCGTTTAATATATATATATATATATATTTTCCCCATATTTGTTAGTGTTGAAATGGAGGATAGTATAATGGATGATGGTGGACTTGAGGGATGCATCGAAGAAATGGGAGAGTTGGCCAAGGATAAATCACCATATCTTGGTATGGAGTTTCCATCAGAAGAAGCTGCATATGAGTTTATAATGAATACGGAAGAATTGTGGGGTTTAGTATTAGAAGAGATTATTGTAACAAAAATCAGAAAGATGGTGTTATGACTAGTAGAAAGTTTGTTTGTTGTAAGGAGGGAGATAGGGAAAAAGATAAACGGTACACGATGATAAAAAATCCTCGAAGTGAGACAAGAACAAATTGTAAAGCATTTATGCATATATCTTTTAAGCGGGACTTGTCGAAGTGGATTGTGTCGAAGTTTGATAGCAACCACAACCACCCTTTGCATCTTCCTCAATGTACTCATTTGATGCCATCTCAGAGAAAGGTATATGATGCTCAGGGTATAAATATTGACATAGCTGATGAGAGTGGAATATCTCTTAAGGCTTCACATGATCTTATTAGTGCTATAGCAGGAGGGAAGGAATTTGTAGGGTTCACGCGAGAGGATCAGAAAACCTACTTACGTGCAAAAAGACAGCGAAACTTGCAGTATGGCGAAGCGGGGAGTTTGTTAAGATATTTCCAGCAGCAAGTGGCAGAAAATCCATATTTTTACTATGCCATTAAGTTGGATGTAGATGAGATGATTACTAATATTTTTTGGGCTGATCATCAGATGATAACAGATTATGGCCTTTTCGGTGATGCGGTGTCATTTGACACAACTTTTCGAACAAATAAGGAGTACCGTCCACTTGCTTTATTTTGTGGCTTTAACCACTTTAGAATGACAGTGATTTTTGGTGCAGCATTATTATATGATGAAACTGCAGAGTCATTTGAATGGTTATTTGAAACATTTTTGGATGCAATGTCAGGAAAAAAACCTGTTAGTTTTTTCACAGATCAAGATCAAGCAATGGCTAAGGCAATTTCACAAATCATGCCTGAGGTTTTTCATGGGTTGTGCACTTTTCACCTAATGCAAAATGCTTTGAAGCATTTAGGTTACTTGTTCAAGAGTGGTTCAAAATTTAGTAGCGATTTAAAAGCTTGCATTTATGACTACGAGAATGAGCATGAATTAATTGAAACTTGGAATTCTTTAATTGATAAATACAATTTGCAAGAGAATGAGTGGATGAAAAGAACTTGGAGAAAAAGAGAGCAGTGGGCGCATGTGTATATGAAGTGGGTATTTACTGGAGGAATGCGAAGCACACAACTTAGTGAAAGTCTAAATGGAACATTAAGGGGATATTTGAAGGGTGATCATAACATTGTTCAATTCTTTACTCACTTCAATCGGATAGTTGTAGATGAGCGGTATGAGGAAATTTCCACAATATATGATTCTAGACAAAAGTTGCAAATAATGAAATTGAAAAAGTCTCCCATTTTAATCCAAGTTGCGAGTTTGTACACCCCTCCTATCTTTGATTTATTTGATTGTGAGTTGGATACGTCCCTTTGTTGTCAAGTGAAGCAATTCCATGAGTTAAAAGGAGAAATTAAGTGCGTGATTGGCTTGTATGGTAATGGTAAAGAGTATATTGTGGAGGGTAGGGTGGAAGTTATTGGGCTAAGAGGAGAAAAAAGCTGTCGAGAAATACATTGTACTTGTAAGAAATTTGAGAACTTTAGAATTTTATGTAGTCATGCAATCAAAGCACTTATGTAGTCATGCAATCAAATCACTTGATAGAATGAATGCTATGGAAATTCTCGAAATGTATATATTAGGCCAATGGAGATTGGATGCAAAAGATTGTGAAGTTGAAAAGAAAAATGTCATAGTGGATGAGAATGATCCAAAGTTGTTCATATTAGCACGTTATAGAGATCTTTGTCCAAGAATGGTGAAACTAGCAACTCAAGCATCTATGCACAAACCTGCCTATCAATTGGTTGATGAAGGAATTAAGGAATTGTGTGTAAAAGTAAATAATATGATGAAGGGAGTTGGAAGTTTTGGTACCAATGAATTAGATGTGGACGACCCCAACATTACACAAGTTAAGGGCATAAAGAAGAAAGATGTTGGACACAAAGAGATGAGTAGATTAAAACCTTGGTGTAAGATGATGAATAAGAAGACAAAAGTTATTTATTTCACAACCTACCCGCCTTAGTAGGTTTACTACGTACTTTTGAAATTTTCAAATGGACATGCATTTATTTTTTATAGAATTATGTTAAAGTATTGATAACTTTTTGAAGCATTTTGTAGTGTTGCTTTGAATTTGACAATAGTCTAAGAAGAATTCAAAAAGTTATCAATACTTTACATAATTTATAAAAATAAATGCATGTCATTTGAAATTTCAAAAGTACGTAGGTATACCTTACTAAGGCGGGTAGGTTGTGAATACTTTTGTCTTCTTATTCATCATCTCATGCCAAGGTTTTAATCTACCCCTCCCTTTGTGTCCAACATCTTTCTTCTTATGCCTTAACTTGTGTAATGTTGGGGTCGTCCACATCTAATTCATTGGTACCAAAACTTCCAACTCCCTTCATCATATTATTTACTTTTACACACAATTCCTTAATTCCTTCATCAACCAATTGATAGGCAGGTTTGTGCTAGTGCTTGAGTTGCTAGTTTCACCATTCTTGAACAAAGATCTCTATAACGTGCTAATATTAACAACTTCGGATCATCCTCATCCACTACAAACATTTTTCTCTTCAACTTCACAATCTTTTGCATCCAATCTCCATCGCCTAATATATACCTTTCGGGAATTTTCATAACATTCATTTTTATCAAGTGCTTTGATTGCATGACTACATAAAATTCCAAAGTTCTCAAATTCTTCTTACAAGTACAATGTATTTCTTGACAACTTTTTTTCTCCTCTTAGCCCAATAACTTCCACTACCCTCCAAATATACTCTTTACCATTACCATACAAGCCAATCACGCACTTAATTTCTCCTTTCTAACTCATGGAATTGCTTCACTGACAACAAAGGGACGTATCCAACTCACAATGAAATAAATCAAAGATAGGAGGGGTTGTACAAACTCGCAACTTGGATTAAATGGGAGACTTTTTCCAATTTCATTATTGGAACTTTTGTCTAGAATCATATATTGTGGATTTCCTCATACCGCTTATCTACAACAATCGATTGAAGTGAGTAAAGATTGAACAATGTTATGATCACCCTTCAAATATCCCCTTAATGTTCCATTAGACTTTCACTAAGTTGTGTGCTTCGCATTCCTCCAGTAAATACCCACTTCATATACACATGCGCCCACTGCTCTCTTTTTCTCCAAGTTCTTTTCATCCACTCATTCTCCTTGCAAGTTGTATTTTATCAATCAAAAGAATTCCAAGCTTCAATTAATTCATGCTCATTCTCGTAGTCATTAAATGCAAGCTTTTAAATCGCTACTAAATTTTGAACCACTCTTGAACAAGTAACCTAAATGCTTCAAAGCATTTTGCATTAGGGTGAAAAGTGCACAACCATGAAAAACCTCAGGCATGATTTGTGAAATTGCCTTAGCCATTGCTTGATCTTGATCTGTGAAAACTAACAGGTTTTTTTCCTGACATTGCATCCAAAAATGTTCAAATAACCATTCAAATGACTCTGCAGTTTCATCATATAATAATGTTGCACCAAAAATCACTGTCATTCTAAAGTGTTAAAGCCACCAAAATAAAGCAAATGGACGTACTCCTTATTTGTTCGAAAAGTTTGTCAAATGACACCGCATCACCGAAAAGGCCATAATCTGTTTCATCTGATGATCAGCCCAAAAAATATTAGAATCATCTCATCTACATCCAACTGAATGGCATAGTAAAAATATGGATTTTCTGCCACTTGCTGCTGGAATATCTTAACAATACCCCGTTTCGCCATACTGGCAAGTTCCGCTGTCTTTTTGCACGTAAGTAGGTTTTCTGATCCTCTCGCGTGAACCCTACAAATTCCTTCCTCCTGCTATAGCACTAATAAGATCATGTGAAGCCTTAAGAGATATTCACTCTCATCAGCTATGTCAATATTTATACCCTCAGCATCATATACCTTTCTCTGAGATGGCATCAAATGGATACATTGAGGAAGATGCAAAGGGGTGGTTGTGGTTGCTAATCAAACTTCGACACAATCCACTTCGATAAGTCCCGCTTAAAAGATATATGCATAAATGCTTTACAATTTGTTTCTTGTTCTCACTTCGAGGATTTTTTACATCGTGTACCGTTTATCTTTTTCCCTCTCTCCCTCCTTACAACAAACAAACTTTCTACTAGTCATAAACCATCTTTCTGATTTGTTACAATCAATTCTTCTAATACTAAATCCCACAATTCTTCCGTATTCATTATAAAACTCATATGCAGCTTCTTCTGATTGGAAACTCCATACCAAGATATGGTGATTATCCTTTGGCCAACTCTCCCATTTCTTCGATGGCATCCCTCAAGTACACCATCATCCATTATACTATCCTCCATTTCAACACTAACAAATATGGGGAAAATATATATATATATTATTATATATTAAACGAAACAAGATCTAAGCAAAAAAGTTATTAATTAATTTTAAATGCTGGATAATTAAACAATTCAATGAAAATCTAATAAATCAATTAATAATGTAATTAATTAAAATGGATAGGGGATAGGGGAGAGGGGAAAAAAAAAGATGTGTAATTTGTACAGTAAACATTGGAAATTATTGTATCTGAGTAGATTATATTATACCAATTGCAAAATTATATTAGAATTATGTATATTATATAATAAGAGAATCTTTTGGCAGACACGCTTAAAGATGTGGAATCATATGCCCTCTTATTATATAAATTTTGATATATGTTTTGTATTTTTGTTCAAATGTTATGTCATCATTTATTGAGTTATAAAATTTATGATTAAAAAATTAAATTCGCATTTATAGTAAGATTATAGATTTTTTTATTGAAACTTTTTTTAGACCACAAAATGCATAACATTATTACAAAAATAAATAACATTGTTTATAAAAAAGTGTGTAATATTTCCAAACAAATACATAACATTGCTATAAAAAAAATAATTATGAAATTACAAATTATCGTAACTCCTTAAAAAATTATATAATATTTATACAAAAATACATAATATGTACAAAACAATTACATAATAAAATTTTTTTTTCTTATAATATACAATTGTGTTTCTCAATCCATTCACAAAAACAAACCAAACTATTATACTTGTTCAACCACTAACATACATGTACAAAATACAAAATACAAAACATATATATATAGAATATACCCTAATAATAGATATAAAATACCAGTTCTGTTGAACAATATATGGTCTGATAAATCCAGCAGAGAACGGTGAAAGCCAAAATAACAACACTTGTTTCAAGTCTGTTTGAGAGGAAGACAAAAATGTAGAAAATAAAAAAATAAAAATAAAAACTAACTTTTTAGAAAATAAAATAAAAAAAAAAACTAACTTTTCAATACATGTCAATAGAAAATAAAAAAATAATTAAATGAAAAACTACCTTTCAATCCATGGTCAATGGAAGAACCTTTGGCTTACGGATTAGACGGCGACGGCCCTAGGTTCTTGTTTTGTTTTGTTATAGGAAGAGAAGACATTAATAAACGCTCATGATTATTTACAAAAAAAAATTAAAATGGTGACGTTTTACAATCACGGCAAGTCACAACTGTACGATACTCCACAGCAGGGACCCAATCCGTACAGGATTTTCTCCCCTAACCACACCCCACCGGCCCCGTGGGTATTGAACAAACTTAATTGCACTCAGGAAAATTACTCTGAGGAAAAATATTTGGATGCATTGAAATCATTTTCAAACTTGTGGGTTTGACATATACAAATGAGCCTGCATATAGTTAATTTTTTAACTTTTTTAATTTTTTCACATTATTTTATTGAAGATTAAAAATTTCGTTTGAAGATAGGCTTTTAATTTTTTTAACTTTTATGACGAAAAAAAAATGATTATAATTTAAATATATATTTTTTCTTATTGACTTTTAATTTATTTTATCTTTTATAACTAAAAATAGCTAAAAAAATTTATGCTTAAACATAACCTGAATCTGGCCAGAAAACTAAAACTATACATCAATATTCTAAGGCACACCGTTGCAAGTTGGGTTGGGTGAGTTAGTGTTAAAATCTAGTCACAGAAATAAAATAAACTTTTTAGTCTTAGGCCTTGTTTGGTAAACTGCCCGTTTAGTCAAAAAAGTTACTAAAAAAGGTCAAAAAGCCAACAATCCATGACAAAGAAGTCAAAGATTATCTTTTTTCTCTCTACTTTTTGCACATCTTTCCGGTAAAGAAGTCAAAACAGTCATTCCAAATATACTAGTTTTTTTTAGGCTCATATTTTAGTCAAAATATCAAAAAGTTACTTAAATTTAGTCTGTTCCCAAACGAGGCCTAAAAAATGTCACATCCAAGTTCATAATCATTTCATTTTTCTCACAAAAGTTAAAAAAGTCAAAAAGTTTATCCAATAAAATTTTTTAACTCTAGACTAAACTAAGTCAACAAAGTTAAAAAATCAACCACATTCCAACCAACCTAAGTAAATTTGTTAAGAGGTTTTTTGAATGTTATATATTTTTTTGAAGTGATGCATGAAAGAAACTAGACTATGTTACATCATCTTAAAATTATCATCTCTAAATTGACCTTTAATGATATAGTATTGACACTAGAATTCATATAATGAAATATTTGACACAATTAAAATTTGATACTTGCAAACATACATTAGAGAATATTTTTAAAGGTGATAAATTAAGTGTATTAAACATTTTTTTAATGAAAAAATATTATAAAAAACTTTATGAAATGGAGAATCTTGTAAAGGTTTCTGAATGAATATTTTCTTTCAATGAAGATCTAACATACTTACTCTAAATTTTTCTTTGAGTTGGCGTGGTTAGATAGCTTCAGCTGTGTTTGGGTTCATAACTTTGGAAAGATATTCGAACAAGAAAATTAAAAGATAGATAAAACGTGCATGAAATATAATTAAATTCATATATTTTCAGTTTCCAAATTAATTTTTCGGATCAAAAAAGCAAAACAATATGTTTGTTGACCAACTTTAGAAC